GGTTTGGTAAAAATCAGTTCAGATAATAGATGTGAAAGGTCTGAAAACTACAAAGCTAAATGTGAGATAATATTCTTTAAAAAGAGAGAGAGAGAGGAAGAAGAAAAAAGGAAAGGAAAGGAAAGGAAGGAAAGGAAAGGGAAGGAAGGAAGGAAGGGAAGGGAAGGAAGGAAAGGAAAGGAAGGAAAGGGAAGGGAAGGGAAGGGAAGGGAAGGGAAGGAAGGGAAGGGAAGGGAAGGGAAGGGAAGGGAAGGGAAGGGAAGGGAAGGGAAGGAAGGGAAGGAAGGGAAGGGAAGGGAAGGGAAGGGAAGGGAAGGGAAGGGAAGGGAAGGAAGGGAAGGGAAGGGAAGGGAAGGGAAGGGAAGGGAAGGGAAGGGAAGGGAAGGGAAGGGAATAGGAAAGGGAAGGGAAGGGAAGGGAAGGGAAGGGAAGGGAAGGGAAGGGAAGGAAGGGAAGGGAAGGGAAGGGAAGGGAAGGGAAGGGAAGGGAAGGGAAGGGGAAGGGAATAGGGAAGGGAAGGGAGGGAGGGAAGGGAAGGGAAGGGAAGGGAAGGGAAGGAAGGGAATAGGAAGGGAAGGGAAGGGAAGGGAAGGGAAGGGAAGGGAAGGGAAGGGAAGGGAAGGGAAGGGAAGGGAATAGGAAAGGGAAGGGAGGAAGGAAGGGAAGGGAAGGGAAGGGAAGGAAGGGAAGGGAAGGGAAGGGAAGGGAAGGGAAGGAATAGGAAGGGAAAGGGAAGGGAAGGAATAGAAAGGGAAGGGAAGGGAAGGGAAGGGAAGGGGAAGGGAAGGGAAGGGAAGGGAAGGGAGGAAGGGAAGGGAAGGGAAGGGAAGAGGAAAAGAAAAGAAAAAGCACATTACAAATTTGACTTATTTTTATTACTTGATCTTGAGCAAATCATCTATCCTATCTATATGAGCCTGTTTCTTCATCACTGATGAATGATGAGGTGAGTAATACCTGCCCCATACCTTCTAGCCTTCTTTGCAAAGTTGGGAGAGTATGGTTATGGATCATTGCAAGTCACTCTTTTTTATATGTTTAGTTAGTTTTGAGGGAGTTTTTCTTTTCTTCTCCCTTTTTGATTTTATTTTATAACAAGTAACTGAGTCTCTAGGAGATGTATACTGGTAAATGTATCTGATATAATGGTATCTGATATAAAAACAAATGATATCAATAAACGTATTTTAAAGGAAAAATGTCTGACCTATCAATTAACTCATTAAAAACACTTTGTTAATAATAAAACACAATAAAATTCACAGCATTTATTACTATATGGTACTTATGTATGTATTATTATGTATGGCATTTACTACTATATAACAACCCTGGAACCAATCCAGAATCAGAGAATGGAAGTGAAGAAGTATATCACTCTAGGTCAGAGATTGTAGATTTAGAGTGAGAAGATACCTTAAATGTTACCTAGCCCAACCTCCTCACTTTATATTATGTATAATTTTTAGAAACATAGAAATTGTTATAAGGATGAAATGAAATAATGAAACCTGCAATTTGCTCTTGGCCAGATACCTAGTAAATGCTGGGGACAGAACTTGAATCCTAATTTTTCTTACTTCCAGCCTCATCTCTTTTGATAACTCTCTGTGGAGCTACAATCCATGACCTATCCAAATCTGGGAACATAAAGCCACTCTCTTATCTTTCCTAGCTTACCTGAATAATAATAGTAATATAAGTAAAATAATAATTTGTTTAGCATTCACCAGTAGGGAAGTGCCCTTTTAGTTTCCAGTTTTTCACTACTACCAAATGAGCTACTAAGCACATTTTTATATATTTGAGTTCTTTTCTTCTTTCTTTGGTCCCTTTGTATAATTTTTTTTTTTTTGCTTTTAGGCAATTGGGGTTAAGTGACTTGCCCAGGGTCACACAGCTAGTACGTGTCAAGTGTTTGGTCTGAGGCCGGATTTGAACTCAGGTCCTCCTCACTTCAGGGCCGGTGCTCTATCCACTGCGCCACCTAGCTGCCCCCCCTTTGTATATTTTTAAAAATAAATTGCAATAATAAATAAATAAGTGAAAATATATTTATATATTGAGTCTATAGTCCTGCAGAGTTGACCATCTACTAGCAGCAACTTTTTCTGTAAAGGGCCAGAGGGTAAATATTTTAGGCTTTGTGGAACAAGAGACAAAATTATGTAGGTACTTATATAAAAAGAGAAAAAATAAATTTCCACCAAATTTTTATTCATGAAATTCAAAATATAATGATAATAGAGGATAATATTTGTAATATGTCTATAACTGAAAATAGCATTCTTTTTTTGAGTGGATAACATCAGTTATATGGGGTTCAAAATTGGTGTTCCCCATCATCAAAGTTGGTTACAAATCTGTTAATGCTGACATATAATGAGATTTTATATGTTTCATCTTTGAAAATGACTTCACACAGATGGGTACCATCAAATATAAATATCAATACCAATATACAACCATATGATTTTAATTGAGCATCTTCATCACTCGGAAAGCATTTGTAGAATTTCATTAGATTCTTCTATTGGTTGTTGCCTTTTACCATGTCATTACATTGCAGATTAATTACTTCCAGTTGAAAGTTAGGTGGAAGCTCCTCAACTACATTGTTAAATGAATTTTGAAATGTGGCAATTTATTTTGTGTTTATATCAAAGTCTGAAAAACACTGTTGGAACTGTAGTTTGAGCTTGGACAATATATCTGCTGCATATTTGTGTGGGAGTGGAGATCTTACTTCTAATTTTAACTTTTGACAGCACCGGAAGTATATAAAGCAGTTTGAAATTACTTGAGATTCAAACTTCATTAGTTGTTATGGAGTTGACTTTATTACAGTGTAAGTTTCACAAACAAGGGCTATTTTGCCTTGTAATTTTAGGTTGAATTCATTAAGAAATATTATCAAGTCTGCAGCAGAAGCTAATTTTCAAAAGCCATTCAGTGTTCAGTAAGTGGTTGAGAGTGATTCTTTTCATTCAGAAAAATTTCTGAATGGAATCCATGAGCTCAAAAAAATTGTAATAAAACTTTTTCTTCTTCTTCTTTTCTTGTTTTGACATGATGAGAATGCACTTGTAATATTTTTTTAAGTCCATCCACAGTAAAGAGCCATATACACATGGTACTCAAAACCCTGTCAAGTTAGAACTGTGTCCCTGAGATTTGTAGTGCTCCAAGAGCTAAGAGAAACTATGTGAGTGTGTCAGATTCGGTGTCTCAAAGTGCCTCTGTTGTGGCTTGAAAACATCCATAGATGTTATGTATATGAATGAGCATTGTCTTGTTCCAATAACATTTTATTTTAAAATGTAAAAACCATTCTTAGGTCACAGGGCATATAAAAACAGGCCAAATTTAGCCACTGGGCCACAGTTTGCTAACTCCTGTTGTAGGAGGACAAGACTTTAAGATACAGAGAAGGCACTGACCTTCATATAGATAAGTTTCCTTTTCTGAGTTCCCTACACATACAAAATCATAGATCCAATCCTTATCCCTTTTACAACTAAGGAAACTGAGGTATAGAGAGTTTAAGTTGTCTAAGGTCATATAGCTAGTAATTTACAAAGACAGAGCTAGAACCCTGGTGTTCTGCCTCCAAGACTAGTGCTCTCTCCAAGATGCTATCCTTTTTGCTTAGTTTTCCAGAATTGGGAGAGCTACTACAATCATCTACCTTATTCATTAATAAATGTTTGTTGATTTGGAAATAAAGGACTGGAGCTTTGGATGAAGGTCGGATTCCTAGAAGTTCTAGGGGGAGTACAGTTACTCCTTCTACTCATCTCATCCCCGGCTTATTACATCTTTTTCCTCACAAAAATGGATTAGTGGCAAACCATGCTAGGCACAGAGACAGTAAAGATAAAAATGAAACACTCCCTGTGCTCACATTCTTCCATGCTGCTTGCTGCTTTGTCTTGCAATAAAGGCAGGAGAGAGTATAAATAAAAACTAGGAATAGGGAACAGGCCTGATATTTCATTGTTGTAGGGAATTCCTGAATTTCCTAAAAATACATGGTTATTGTGAAAAAAGAAAGGTTCTTATGTAGTAGGAAAATGAGGCAAATTTAAGAGAAGCCAATTGTCCCTATACATAGATTTAGTGTTGGAAGGGACCTCAAAGGGCTTGTAGTCCAACCCCCTTATTTTACAGATGACAAAATTCATCTCAGAGGAGTTAAATGATAGTGTCTGAGGCACAGCTCAAATCCATTTCTCCTGACTGCAGATCCAGCATTCTATCTATACCAGCTATATCATGCACTCGAGTGCTCTATAAAATTCTTACCACATCTATTGCTCCACTACACCCCATCCTCCAACTTATAGCATCACTCACACATACAATCAAATGACAAATATGCATTAAGCGCCTACGACTTACCAGACACCATGTGTCTCTAGTGAAACACAAGTACAAAAAAAAATGAAATAATATCGGCTTACAAGGAGCTTCTGCACACACTTCTCCTTTCCTTTCTCCTTCTTCATGTCACAAATCTGAGACCGTCTCCCTTCCCCTTCTCACCTCCACTTCTCCCTCTTCTCTTCTAGTTTGGGCTCAGCATCAGAACATCTTTACTCCATAGGCATCTTTCTCCCTTTAAAGTGCAGACTCCAAGTACAACTTCTCCAAATCTGGAATCCTAAGGGTCCTTCATCAAACTACCCCATCCCATGTCTTATTATAGTAGCTTCTCTAAAACCTCTCACTTCGCTCCTGCAGTGTACAGTAGACTTCTTTCCTTTCTAAAGGAATCAACTAAGCCTGAAATAGACACCCCCCACTACCCCCACTACCATTTTCAACCTCTTTCAGGGTTCACTGCTTCATAGTGTCTAGCTGACCTCATCATACCCAAATGATACCTCTCTACTGGGTGGAAGGAAGCATGGGACAGGAGGAGGAACTTTTTTTTTCTAATAAACTAGTAAAGTACAATTAAAAGCAAATGTTGGGAGAACATAGCTTCTTGCACATACCTCAAGACATTTCTTCCTTCTTTCCTGAAAGCTTTCTGTTTTGTCCTGGAGTAAAGGCAAAAGAATAGCACAGAGTTTATAAACCAGCCCTGAACCCAGGATGTAGCAAACTGATTGGATGGTAAACCTTCTACTTAGGGAAATTCAAATTCAAAAAACTGAGACTGCCTCTCTCCAATCAAGGGCAAAATATCTAGTTAATTAGTAATTATTGTCCCTGATAGTAACACACACACACCCAAGCATAACTACATGCACACACACACACACACACACACACACACACACACACATACCATGCCATACCATACACAGACAATCTCCCACCCTGATCTTGAGACCAAGAAGATTCCTTAGAAATCCTGTCCTTTTTATCTTTCACTTCTAGGTTTTGGACAGCCACAAGTTACTAAGGACATCCATTATTTCTGAATTAAAGAGAAAGTTAACTGTAAACTGAGACAGTGAATTCATCTGGAAATGTGCCTGGAGATAGAGGTCTCAAATTTTCCACATGAATCCCATCCCACAAATATTAACTCATTTTATCCTCACAACATCCCTGGGAGATGGGTGCTATGATTATCATCCCCATTTTACAGATGAGGAAACTGAGACAGGGATTAAGTGATTTGTGCAGGGTTACAAAGCTACTGAGCATCTAAAGTTTTACACCACCTAAATGCCATATTATTATTATTATTAGCTAAGTGACCTTGGCTGTGTCATTTCTACCACTGGTCTCAGGATCGTTGTACAAAGAACAGGGGCCATTTTTTTTAACTTTTCTTTGTATCCTGAGGGCTTTGCATAGTGCCTGGCACACAGTAAGTATTCATTGATTAATTATTAGTCATGATGTACTCTTATAATAGCTCACATTTATATAATGCTTTAAGATTTACAAAGCATTTCTCTCACAAAAAACCCTAAGAGGTTAGGTGGGTTATCATCCCCATTTTACGGGTGAGGAAATTGACTTTAAGTGAAATTAAGCAACTTGCCTAGAACTCTCCAGCTGGCAAGCATCCAAGCAGAAATTGACCTTAGATCTCTTGACCTCAGATGTCTTTATATTTGTTTTTATATTGCCTCCAGATCTAAATTATAACTGTCATCATTATAACACTTTACACTTAGATGATACTTTATCTCATCTAATTCTCACAATCCTCTATACGTACCTAAAAATTATTACTTCTCCATTTCATGAGACTCCTAAGACACAGAAAGGTTAAAATATCATATAGTTAATATCAGAACCTAAGTCTCCAGTCCTCTAATTGATGACTCATTTTTGGTTAATCAATCAACCAGCATTTCTTAATCAATTTCTTAATCAAATGTGCTGGAGATTGTGTTAGGCACTAAGAATAGAAAACTCTTATAACAAATATGCATAGTCAAGCAAAACAAATTGTCATGTTGGCCTTTTCCAAAAATGTGTGTCCCGTTGTGCATCTCCAGTCCATCATCTCACTGTCAGGAGGTGCAGACTGAACTTTATCCTTGGCTCTCTGGAATCATGGTTGGTCACTGCATTGATCAGTTGTTTCAAAGTTGTTTTTCTGTTATCATTATAATTTGTTCTCCTGGTCCTTCACTCTATATATTTCATACAAGATATCCAATGTTTGTCTGAAAATATCCCTTTTATCAGTTTTTATGGTGTAGTATCTTCTTATGTAATATTCTCTTACATACATGAATTACATACATAATTTGTATGTAACTCATGCCCCTCCCTGCCCTTTACTTTACAGATGAGAAATCTTAGGCCCAGAAAGGTAAAATTATTTGCCCAAGATCACACAGGTATTAAACAGGGATTCAAACTTTCTGATTCCAAATCCAGTATGCTTTCTACTATACTAATCCACAGTGGCTTCTCTAACATCACAGTTGCCAAATCTCGTTGTTCCCTAATTGCTTCAAGTATCTTAGTTAGTTGCCCAATAAGATTGTAAACTTGGCCTGAAGTCAGAGACAATGTCATACTTCAATATTCCCTATGTTTCCTTGTATGCAGCGTTGAGTCTTTTCACCCACATCAGACTCTTCATGACCCCATTTGGGGTTTTCTTGGCAAAAACACTAGTATGATTTGTCATTTCTTTCTCCAACTCATTTTACAAATGAGGAAACTGAGGCAAACAGAGTTAAGTGACTTGCCCAGGGTCACACACCTAGTAAGTGTCACCTAGCTGTCCTATATATAGCTAGGAACTCAATCAAATCAGATCATTGATTTGGGTCTGTCTCTCCCCTTTCATGAACCCAAAAGTATTCCAGTCCCTAATATGAACCTAGAACTGACTACTGTACTGAGCCCAGCAAGGCTGGTTTGTTATCAGTTGGTGATCACTTTAGTTCTGATTGAAAGAGATTCCAATGATGAAATTGTATTAACTAGGTAGGTGACAGGATATCTTTTCCTAGAAGGTTCCTCTTAGAATTGAATGAATTGAATTCTCTTGAAAGGAATGTTTTCTTAAACCATAGGCCCAGCCTTCTTCTCTTCCTCTATAGTACTTGTTGCACCTTACTCTGTAACTCATACTCTTAGATCTAGTGACGATGTGGTCCTTGCTGTTCCACAAACAAGACACTCCATCTCTAGGCTCCACGCATTTTCTCCAGCTGGCCCCATGCATGGGATGCTCTCCCTCTTTACCTCCACCTATTGACTTCCTGTTAAGTCCCATCTAAAATCTCATCTTCCACAGGGAGTCTTTTTAAATCTCTCTTGATTCTGTATTCCTTTCCTAATTATTTCCTCTATGTACTATATCCTCTACACAGCTTATTTGTACATATTCGTTTGTTGTCTCCTCCATTAGATTGTGATTTCCTTGAGGGCAGGGGACATCTTTTGTCTCATTTTGTATTCCTAGGGCTTAGCCTAATGCCTTGCACAGAGTAGATATTTAATAAACGTTTATCAATTGATTAATTAATATAAATGCTAGGTACTATTATTATTAAATGACCTTTCAAACTCCCTTATATTCCCCAGATCTTAGAAAATTGAAATCACCTAGAAATTCAAATGGAGATGAAACTGTTCTTTTTCTGATTAAAAAACACACAAAGCCATTTATTAAGCACCTATTAGGTGCCAACTGGGAACACAGGTGAAATTCACAAGCATTTAGTAAGCATCTACTATGTGTCAGGTACTGTGCTAAGCACTTAGGATACAAAGAAAGGCAAAAACAGTTTCCGCCCTCAAGGAGCTCACAATCTAATGGGGAGATAACATGTGAACAGCAATGGAAAAATAAGATGTATATACAGTGTAAGCTGGAAATAACCTCAGAGGGAAGGTACAAACATTAAGGAGGACCCAGAAAGTCTTCTTGAAAAAGTGGGATTTTAGGGGCAGCTAGGTGGTGCAGTGGATAGAGCACCGGCCCTGAAGTCAGGAGAAGCTGAGTTCAAATCCACCCTCAGACCAAACACTTGACACTTACTAGTTGTGTGACCCTGGGCAAGTCACTTAACCCCAATTGCCGTAAAAAAAAAAAGTGGGATTTTAGCTGAGACTTGAAGTAAGCCAGGGAAGCCAGGAAGAGGTGAAAAGGGAAAGAATTCACTGGGAGACACCCAGTACAGATGCACTGAGTACAGATCCACAAGACATGGATTGTCTTGTGTGGGGAATTGTAATGAAGCCAGAGTCACTAGATTTTAAAGAAAGTGAATACAAGGACAAAATGAAAACTCTCCTAGTCTCAAAGAACTTAAGTTCTGTGGGGTAGATAACATAAACAAATTTAAGAACAAAAAAAAAAATAAATACAAAATAAATTCAAGGTGAGGCATTAGGAGCTAATTTTGAACTGAGATTTAAAGGAAATCAGAGATGGCAAGAGGTATAGGTGAAGAGGGGATAGATTCCTGGTTCCTAGCTCATTGATCCAATGTCTCAATAAAAAGGCCATGAGAGCACAGCAAACAGCATCATAAATTTAAATTTCAAGACTCAAAACAAAATTTTGTCGAGCATCCTCCCTCAAACTCAAAATCTCTTCAAATGCCATCACCAGGCACTCTTCATTTCATTTCCACTAAGTCCTAAGGAAGCAAGCCTAGCTTAGTTATATCAACAACAAATCCCAAATTGAACTGCTTTCTTTGGCAACTGGGAAGACAGAGAGGGTTTCAGTTTGTCTCTGCATCCCTAATATGTTGCATAGAATATATCTCTGAGATTATAGACAATTACTACATAGATCCCTTTCAACATATTTGTTCCTATGTTGTCTCTTGCATTAGGTTGTTATCTCCTTGAAGGCAGGGACTATTTTGTTTTTGCCTTTGTATTCCGAATTGTGAATTTAATAAATTTATGTTGACCTGGATTTATTTAATGGATCAAAGTCAATCTGGAGAGGGTTCTCTATGCAGCACTTCTTAAACTATGGGTCACAACCCCATATGGTGTCATGTCTGAATGTCAGGGTTGCGAAAAATTTGGCAACAGTAAAAGATTTCTGAACACACAATGACCAATAATTAATTCAAAATCAAACACATAATGAATCCAAGGCATTTCTGACAGCACTTGCCCATGTTGCATTATGCAACTTCACTGTAGCCTTGATTCTGAACATGGGACATTTGCACTTTGCACAGTGCATACCCTTCAGGCCTTGCAACACCAACAAACATCTCCATTCAGAATCAGATTATGTTATGAATTGCAGTGTTTTTACTGTACATACAAACTTTTGAGAAATTATTAGCAATATTTCTTTATATTTTAGGACAAAAATATTTTTTGGTTATGGATAAGTGGCTAAATTTAGACAGAAGAAGTACAAATACTGATGACAATGCAGCAGAATCTTCACTATCAGCTTGTAGTACATCTAAATTGACAAGAAAAAGAAAATATGTTGAATCATTTTTGCAATATGGATTTATTTCTAATAATGATGATAGTGTGGAAAAACCTCTTTGCTCAATTTGTAATGAAATTTTGGCTGCAAAAAACATGAAACCAGCCAAACTAAAACAACATCTTAATACCAAGCATCTAG